TTTTTTTTTTTGGAGATGGAGTCTCCCTCTGTTGCCCAGGCTGGAGTGCAGTGGTGCAATCTCGGCTCACTGCAACCTCTGCCTCCCAAGTTCAAGCAATTCTCCTGCCTCAGTCTCCCGAGTAGCTGGGACTACAGGCTCATGCCACCACACCGGGCTAATTTTTTGTATTTTAGTAGAGATGGGGTGTCACTGTGTTGCCCAGGCTGGGCTCAAACTCCTGAGCTCAGGCAATCCGCCCACCTCGGGCCTCCCAAAGGGCTGGGATTACAGACGTGAGCCACCGCGCCCAGCCCTGCGCTGCTTTTTAATATGCGAAAGGTGTTTCTGTGATCATCAGCTTCTGAGAGAGAAGAACACATGTGCCAAGGGCCCATCACAGCCTCAGGCCCGGGGCAGACAGGAGCTCACGAAAGTCACCCGCCTGTCCTGACCGTCCCATGTCTCCCTGCAGCACTGCGAGTTCCGAATGCGCGGGCACTACCACTGCCTCCGCACCGGCTGCTACTTCGTGACCAACATCACCACCAAGCTCCCCTGGCACATCAAGAAGCATGAGAAGGCGGAGCGGCGGGCAGCCAATGGCTTCAAATACTTCACCAAGCGCGAGGAGTGTGGCAGGCTAGGTACCGAGGGCCTGGGCTGCGGGCAGGGACTTCCAGTGGGCATCAAGGCCATGGCCCCTGTGGCCTGGGCCGCCTCTCCTGGTACCCGTGTCCTGTCCCCACCGCAGGATCCATGTTTTGTTGAAGGTGTGCCAGATGTCACAGGCTAGGCACCGTCAAGCTTGTGAAACAGTCCAAACCCACAGAGCCCAGCAGGAGGGGTGGGGGTGACTCACGCAGGGCACCGCCCTTCCACCCCCAGACAGCGGCTCTGGGACTTCGTCGTGAGCATCCAGGGCCTGGGCGTGGTTCTGTTTCCCTTTTCTCATCAAGAAGTCGAGCAGGGAAGTCTTAGGAGTTCAAAGTTCTTTGCTCTGGGATCTCTTTCCATGGCTTTCATGATGAGGTTTCTGTCCACAATGAGCTACAGTTTGTTCATCCATTCATCCATTTTGTAGTTACTTATGGAGGGACAGCTCTGTGCCAGGCTGGGTGCTGTCACAGGGGTGGGGGTGGTGACAGTGGTGGCGGCTCAGATCTAGCAGGGAACGGTCAAGTTCCCCATGGGCTCAGCTGGAGCATCCGTGACCCGGAACCCAGGAAGAGGCTGCTGTGGCTTCGGGAAGGGAAGCCACCGATGCCTGAGAGGTAGCCGTGCTGCTGGGAGCTGAGCCCCGGCCCCTGTGCATGGCCTGCTGAAGGGGCAGGACTCTCTCTAGGAAGAGACCAGAACCCAAGGGCAGGCGAGAGCCAGGCCGTCAGGCAGAGGCCCCTGGGCTGCAGGCGAGGCCCATTGTGGCCTGGTGGTCGTGGCAGCAGGGGTGGGGGCTGCTGCAGTCTGATCCTTCCAAAAGTGAAAAGGTGACATATTCAAAGTCAACCGCCAGAAAAAGGAAACAAACCTTGCCTTCAAGTATGAATTCAAAAAGGAGTTCTCGGCCAGGGAGAGGGCTGGTAGCCATGCCAATAAGTGTCAACACTCGTGGCCTGTGCTGTCCCTGAGCTCAGTTTACAGATGTCAGGGTATCCTGCAGTTGCCGTTATTTACTCAACTTGTGGTGGTTTTGGTGATAGTTGGGGCCAAACAAAGCTGGGGGATGACAGAAGACACCTGGCCAGCCTGGGCGCCATGGCAGCGGACAAGCCCTCACCTGCCCTGGGATGCTGTTTCAGTCCCGCCTGCTCTGTTTGTTCTCGGCCCAGAGCAAGGCAGGGGGTGCTGGGGCCTGGCCAGAGGGGCCGGCAGCACCCCGAGCTTCCCAGCAGAGATGTGGGGACAGGTGGCTTGCTGAGAGGTAGCTGGCCTAGTGTACAGGGACCATGAGGGTCCCTTGCCCTGGAGCTGTGCACCTCCCCGCGTGTGGGCCAGGGGATGGGGGCCAGCCCGGCATTGTCACTTGCCTCTGTGCCAGGCTGGAGAGGAGGCCCAGGGTGTGGACAGCCAGGTGGCTTTGGACTTCCTGACCTTCCTCCTAAGAGTGCCACCGTGGTGCAGCGCCCTTCCCCCTGCCATCTGCCTTATTGGCCACACTGCCCCCATGCCTAGAACAGTGCCTGACAGAGCCTGGAAGCCATGAGCGCGGGCCAGCTGGGGGGCTTATGCCAGGTGGGCCTATGTCCACAGGCTGCAAGTACAACCAGGTGAACAGCCACTTCCACTGTATCCGGGAGGGCTGCCAGTTCTCCTTCCTCCTCAAGCACCAGATGACCTCCCACGCGCGGAAGCACATGCGGAGGATGCTGGGGAAGAACTTCGACCGTGTGCCCCCCTCCCAGGTGAGAGCCACCCCCCGCAGGTGAGAGCCCAGCCAGGGTGGCGGGAATGCATCATGGTCCCACGCTCACTCTCAGGCCTGTGCTGCGTGGAGCCTCGGCCTGCCCTCTGTGGGCAGCATGCCCCACAGCCCCACTTCCTCAGGGACCCCCGTGTCCTTTCAGGGCCCCCCAGGCCTGATGGATGCTGAGACAGATGAGTGCATGGACTACACTGGCTGCAGCCCGGGCGCCATGTCCTCTGAGTCATCCACCATGGACCGGAGCTGCTCCAGCACCCCCGTGGGTAACGAGAGCACTGCGGCAGGTGAGCTGCAGGCAGGGGCTGCTGGCAGGGCCAAGCCCCACTCCCAAAGCCCAGCACCGGTGGGTGCAGCTTGGGACAGAAGGTCCGGGGCACACGGCCTCTGAGGAGGACAGGCTGGTGTGCAGCAGAGCCAGCTGGTCTGTGGGACTGAGTCACTGAGGCCCCTCCCGCCATCCTCCCGCCTCCCCGGCGCTGCCCTCCGTATCAGTTTCCAGGAGAGGACCCTGGGCCGGTCCTCTATGAGCCACAGCGGGAGCAGCGCGGCCCTGGCCTCCTTCCTCTGCTGCCTCCCACCTGGCCTGGGCCCAGCACCGGTCCTGCCCGGCACACCTGCCCATGTGACCCCTGGCACCGCCCTGCCTCTCTCTCCTCCTGCCCCCTCTTCTTGTGTCCCTCTCTCTGCTCATCCGTGCACACATTTTCATGCCATACCTGCTTCTGCCATCGGGTTTCTCATTTTGGTTCTTTCTGTTTGTTTGTTCTTTGTTTTGGTTTCTTTTTTTTTTTTTTTTTTTTTTTTTTCTGCTTTTGGTGGTGAGAGCTGCTTTGGGTCCGAAGTCACAGGCCTGTGATGCAGAGTTGGAGGCTTCCAAATGGCCGGAAGTCCCTGAAGGTGGGGGGAGGCCCCCGGGCCCTGCCCCGGCCGTAACTCCTCCGCGCCGCCTGTACTCAGGCATAACGTGAGGCAAAGAATCTAGCAGAGGAGTCAAGCCCCGGTGTATCTACCTCAAAGGGAGGGGCCGGGCGCAGACTGCCACCCGGTGGTATCAAGATATGGGGTACTGTGTGGGATGGGAAGGCTGCCTCTGCCCCTGAGACTGCTGGGGCCCTGAGTCACAGGATTCACTTTACTGCTCAGCCTTTGGGTATCGGGCGGGCGTTCAGGCGGCTGGATCTGGACGGCCTGCTGAACCTGGGCAGGTCCAGACCCCCAGCAGACTTCCCGAACATCCTCTCCGTCTCCCTAGTGCCAGTCGCCCAGGGGAAGCTCCCTCAAGAGTAAAGGGACAGTCTCTGCCCTTGCCCCAGGCCCCGAAGGAAGCAGACCCACAGGGCCTCCGCAGGTCGGCCGCCTCCCTGGACTCAGAGCAGTTGTAACACGGGGAGAATCCCTAGCATCGGATGCTCTGCGCCTGCTAGGGCACCTGAGCAGGAGCCACGAGGAGTTTCCGCCGGGAAGAGACTTACACCCTCTAGTCTCGGGATCGCTTGGCCTGTCGAGGGCGCGGTGCAGAGCGGCCCCCGTCCTTGGCCGTGACTCGGGCTGGCACAAAACGGTCGAGGCCCCGGAGCATGGCCTAAAGAGGGTGAGTGGAGTGAACAGACGAAACTGCGGTGAGAAGGCATGTGCGCATTACCCCGATGCACAGGCATCCCTGACAGGGGGACGTCACTGTTTACTGGAGTGGAGGGCAATGACCCGGGCCGGAGAAGCCCTGGGCGCGGCGCGGGCTGCAAGGTGGATGCCCCAGGCCCCGGCCGGACCTCCGAGAGTGGCAACTGAGCCAGAGAGTATAGAGACAGGAACGGAAGAAGAGAGGCAGGGAGGAGGGGCGGGGAGGGGCGGCGAGCGTGGCCGGCGAGAAGGATGGAGGCGCTGGCGGCTGCGGGCCGCGCGGCGCAGCCTCATCACCAGCGGCCGCAGGAGGAGGAAAGAGGAGGAGGAGGGGGAGCGGGCAAGCCTGGAGAGGGGGTGAAAAA